AGAAAGGGGCACTATTCAAGTGGCCGGCACTGTATATAGATATGTATCGTACTAATATTTCCAATTAAAGCACACAGCCGCACCTTTTATTTCATTTCACTTCCATTTAATGAGCTCAGTGTGTAAGATTGCGCACAATAAAATTGAAGTGCATGAATTAGTTAAAGCAATTGTTTATAGTTTTACATTTGCCTCAATGGACTTCTTTTGCTTCATTTCCACATTTATTTTGAATTTTATTACAATTTTTGCCTTCGCTGGTCGCTTTAAGTGCATTACGTTTCCGCCTATGGTAAAATTCACATGGTTAAGCACGTGAAGGCTTACATATAGTTAACTAGTATAATAAATATATGTAGATATATAAAAAACATCTAATGCGGAACAAATTAGTAGCCAAGCAAAGCGTTAAATTACACAAATAAAATCTTTTTAATTTAGAATTATTTGTTCGACAGCTATAAACGGAAGTTTATGATTAGCGAATTAAGCTAAAGGCTAAAAAGAAGGGTTAAAATCAGTGAATGCAATTAGCGCATGCAAGGAATAGAGCAGATGATTTTTTTTCTTTGGAGGATATGCGTAAATTTGCACGCCTTCAGTACTTTCTATATAATGTAGCCTATACCTATATCGTATATCTTAAATTTTGACATATTGATGAAGGAATTGCTTCTAATTTAACTTACAATTTTGATTGTTTATTAATTTTTCTTTGCCAGAAACCCATTTTTACCCAAACAAGTTTTTTTTCTATTGGAAATGATTAACACCAATGCTAAACCACCGCGTTGTACCGCCACCATGCCCAGCAACAAATAAGCAGATATTGAACAAAAGACTTAAGTAGCGAACTTGCTCTGGTAGGGTGTTAAGTGTTGCGCTAGAAAAAAATTATGGGTGGCGACCAAAACAATGCAATACGATAATATGGATAACCTACAATGGTCGTTGACTGGCTGAGGTTGCATAGCTTTGAAAAATTAAATTGAGCAAAAAGCAAGCTAAAATTAAAAAAGCAAATAAAAGCTAAATATATAACAAAGAAAAGCTGATAAAACAGAAGAACAAAAAACGAACATAAATTTATGTGTGAAATAAAGATAAAAGTTGCAGAAATGTGGCAAGGTTACCTTGAGCATAACAAAGCGAAGCGATGAGATCAAGTGAGGCGAAGTAAAGCTATGAGGGGTGATTCCAGGGCAATGAACGGCACTTTGTCAAGTCAGTCAGTCAGTCAGTTACACCATAGCATAAAATGAAATGAATGAGTGAGCAAAATGGCCACAAAATTCGCACGTTACAAATGAGTGTAGCAGCCACAGCCACAACCATCTCAATGAAGTTGCATTGCATTGAATTGTGTGACACTTTGCGCGTCGCAAAAAAAAGCTAATTGCGTATTGTTTAATAGCAAATATTTAAAAGCGTAAAATGCACCACCATAGAAAAAAAATAAAAAAAAATAATAATAATAAGCTCGTACACATTTATTAAGCTCGCTTATAATTAGCTAAAATTATGGCAGCAGTCAACCAGTTCGTGCAACAATTGCTGCAAGTGAGCAATTTATGTACATACATACATATGTATGCACGTGTGGAGCATGAATTTCGAGCAGCGCAAAACTGGCGCAGTTCACAGTTCGCAAGTTTCTTTTGCAAGAGCTTTTACTTCTTATTTTGCGTCATGAAAAATTATCAGCTGCAATGTGGTTATACGAAATTTAAACTATTTGCTTGAAAACATACATACATGCCTATGTATGTACCTAGGAAAATTAATAACAATAAATAACATTAAGTATGTCTGTAGTTAAGTGCGAAAAAGTTGTCGAGAAAAAGTATTATAATAAGTGCATTTTAATTTGGTCAAGGTGCGCTGCCGAACTTGCGCTAATGGCACAGCATTTTTCGTGTATTGTTTTTTTTCAAATTTTTTTAACCACATTTTTGCTACAGTAGCTACATTTGTTTGATGGTCAGTAACCCACAACATACAAGCGTCTTCGCTGTGTTTGCTATACAGTTGTTAGAAGTATATATTTGTTTTGACCGCCTGTGGGGTCAGGGTAATGATAGTAGTACTGAGGTTAGCGCTGGTGGTGACGTTCATAAGCTTTTATTTATATACAATGTATTTTATATAACAAATGTATGCATACATAAGTACCTACATATATATGTACGTACAACTTATGCTAAACATTTTTTAATATTTACCATAAATGTTGTATTGTGGTATGTAATACATAATATAGGCTATTCAATACTATTAAGAAATATTTTATTGAATAAAAATAATTTTTAATAAAAAAATTCCAGAAAAAAATATGCACATTTGAAAACTTAAATGGTGAATATTTTAAAAAATATTCAACATTAAAAATGTAAAACTTTCCTAAAACAACTTTGTACGAATACTTGATTTAAAAAGCTTTACAAATTTATATTTTGCCTAAAAATTTTCGATTTATAAAGCAGTTAAAGTCCTTTTTACTTTTTATGAATTAGGATGTTAAACTTGTAGTAAAATTTTTGTTTTACTAAATTTCGTAAAATATTGAAAATTTTAAAATATATTTTTTCAATTTCAAAAAATATAACAATTTCAAAACTAAAAATTTAAATATCTAAAGATGACAAACGAGATCTAAAATTAGAAAAAAAACTTACTTAAAATAAGAATTAATTACATACTAAAATTGATTTTTTTTTCAAAATTTAATTATTTCAAGATTTAAAAAATTTTAAAATATAGCCTTTTTATTACTTATTCTTAAAAAAAGCATCAGCCGAAAGAAAACAGGTTTCAATTTCAATATCCATGATTTTAATTTTTTTTATTGAAAAAAAATATATAAGTAAACAAAAGATCAAAGGCAATTTTCACAAGCAGTTCCTGCGACTAGTATTCATATTAAATTAAAATAAAAACAAAAATCATTTTTAAATTTTTTCGTGAAACTGGCTATAAATAAAATTTCTAGGTTAAAGGTTGATAATCTATTATTCTAAACCTAATTTGGAGATTTCAAGGCAATAATTACATATAAGAAATTTTTAAAAATTAATTTAATATTTTTTGTTTTAGTTTTTACCTCTCTTTATTATCGTTATCTCCTAGATACATATTTCCATCAATGACCTTTTTGCTATTCCATTCAAAACGACACATAATTAGAGTGACAAGCAGAAAAACACTCACAAATGCCAGCAGCCAGGTAAAATAATTATGCTTGCGCGCAAAAATGTTTTAATTTATGAAATTTTTGTTGCTCAGGTATTTGTGGTAGTTACACTGCTGCAAGCTGTATAGTTGCAAAAGCATTTACCTATGTATGCCCGCAGACCGGTATCATAAGAAGCTATCAAGCTACTAACAACTGCTATCGGGACACATCCCACATGAATGAGCGCACATACATATATATCAACATTAGAGCGGATCATTACCCACATGGAAGAAAAATATTTGTAATTAACACACCTAAGCCCAATGCTAGAAGATTTTGGTGGCCTGAAAAATCTGGTCATAGCTATGCTGTCAAAGTGGCTGAATTTTTGTTTCATTTTTACTTCTTACACACTTTTTTTACGTACCAGCCTAATTTGCTTGGAAATATGTTTTTATACATCTGCAAAACCGCGTAACTGACATTGGCTGCCAAAAATTGGATTTGCTCGCACAAACTCTTGGCGCACTCCTTATCCATTCGTGCTGAAATATACTAGCCAGAAATGTGATTGCTTTATAAAAAAGAGCACCATTTTGAAATATGAGGGTTTTTACTTCCTAGAAAATAATTTATGCAAAAGCACATACGCGGTTTTGCATTTTGTTGATAAGCGGTTTTGTACTTTAAACGACGATAAATATAAGCATTAGACTGTATAAACAATTCAAGCCTGGAAATATTTGTATTCTATCGTAGGCGAACGCGTGCAATTTATTTAGCTAGCAGGTTCATTGATTACTTCTTGGCAAATCAAATAGAAAATATGCGATCAAAATGCAAAATAATTTTGTTTGGTGTAACAAGAATAAGATTTTCTTTAAACACCTCTCAAGTGTTCAACGTGTTTAGATTTGTATGAATACCAACAATCAATCGGACAATGAAAAGAATTAATAAGAAGTGAAAAACAAAAAACAACAAATTTAGTAAGCTGAGTTGCACCACAAGTGCACTTAAGCAGCACACAAAATGAACTACTACATATAAAATTATTTGAACATTTTGTGAAGCAAGTTAGCTTACAGCTACGTAATTCAGCTAAGCAAACAAATCAATTTGCCAACTGGTCTGAAAATTGCAGTTCAAATTAGTACAGGTTCGTATTTTAAGCCTTTTGTTTGCAGTTTAACAACTTCTTTAGCAGAAAATGTGTGTTGACATGCACATGCACATATGTTTGGATATAGATACATATGTACATAGATACCAATATACATATATGTGAATGCACGATTACATTTTGAAGTACATTCAATGGCGTCTCGTTTTCCTTTCGTCAAGGACAAACTTTTTTTTTTGGTAACAAAAAGTGAAAACCTCGAATTTACTAAAAATTTTTGGACACTCAATATGTTTAGCTAAAATCTACCCTGTTAGGCAGAACGCTAAGCGTCATTCCCTCTTCATAGCAGTTATGTCTCTTGAACAGGCAGTGGAAAGGCCAAGTGCCCTGAGCTCTACATTTCGCGAGTATATCAGACCTTTCGTTTCCATTAAAGCCCCAGTGGGCAGAAATCTTTCCCAAAGTAAACTAACAAAGTTCTTAATGTGTTTAGTAAAATTTTGCAACTATTTTCTAGCCTCGACGCCATTTTATATATGTCAGTTCAAGGCACTTAATGGATTCTACAATTCTTTTTTCTATGTTTATAAAGGTACTTACAAAACATTTCAATATTTTTTGATTATTATTTTTTTCATTATTTTATCGTGCTTTTAATTCCATAAGTAACAAAAAATTAATTAAAATCTTTGCACTCACCATTATTAAATCACCAGTCTCCAGATGACGACGCATCAATATGGCCGCCATATTGCTTTCGTCTTGATACACTTGACCAATTTGGTCGCTGGATTGGGCATCCTGTAAAGAAATAGTGAAATATTGCCGATCAGTTAGATTCAAGATAAATGCAACAGAAGCATAAATAAATGTATTTTGAAAACATGCAATGCCACTAATTATTTTAAAAATCTTTAAATTATTGTATCTATTTTATTTTATTTTTCGAAAAAATTCACTTTATTTATTTACATACAAAAGTAAAACCATTAAAATTAGCTTAACAGTAATTTTAATAGCAAAAACAGGATTTTATCATATTTTTTGACGCGACTCAGTGACAGCCAGCACGTTGGGTTACATGACTTTTCACATGTCGAGTTGTAACATGTGTAGATATTGAATGAAAAAAGTGACAGTGACAACATTTTGTATTTAGTACTAAATTTTATTTAGTTCGTACAGGCGCGAGTAATAAATACTTGAATTATTTTTTATTACTATTTAAATTCTTAAGCCTCCAAGAAAGCCTGATTTGCTGTTCTACATATTGTATATTAAATTCATCACACTCATGTATTACTTAAACACTAGTTATCCGCTCGTTGTGATTTAATCTGCGCAAAGTACTAATTTTTCATAACCACCGTAAAAATAATTTGTCACGCATTGCAATCGAATTCCGTGCATAAATCAATATTTACAACACAGATAAAGTTTGTATGTCCAGTAGGTATATATTTACTTGCTTATCTGATGTTGTATGCGCGTGATAAACAAAGAAAAAAAATTAAATAATAAAAGTACACTAATACGATTTACTGCAAGCACAACGTGTAAGCAAGTGCTCAACAGAAATTACCAGCAGCAGAGAACTATGTAGGTGCTGAAAATGCCCGCCCAACAAGTGTTATGTCTTTTACCACATTTCAATGTCACTGCGTGTAGCATAAATCAATATTGTGAAAATTANGCGAATAATGAAATGTGCTAGTCTTCGACGCGAATAGTGAAACGTGCTAGTCTTCCACGGTAATTTGAGATGTGCTACTCTTCGTTGGGAGCGACGATATGTAGTAGCATAAATAATAAGTACTAAAAAATACATATAGCCATTTGATAACGGTAATAAAAAAGGTGCGCTGTAAAAGCATGAATGTATTGGCATTAAATGGGGCGTAGAAACGAACAAGAATGTGCTAAAAATGTGTACTGAATTTATAGCAGACAGCAGATACAAAAAATAATCAAAAAAATATTTTTTATTCTTAAAATTAAAAAAAATTTGTTTTTAATAAATTATAAGTATTCGCAGTAAACTCTTATAGATATTTAAATTTTTTAGATTTTCGATTTAGAGATTATTTAGAAAAGTATAAAAGTAGAAAATGATTTCAAATTTAACTACGCATATAATATTAAAAAATAAAGAAAAATTAGTTTGAATAACAAATTTCGGTAAAAGATAATTTTGAAACATTGAATTGATTAAATTTTTTTAAAATATTTGCTTTGGTTACCTTATTTAAGGAATTAAATATAATTTAAATACATATGATATTTCAATATCGACGAATCAATATCAGCGAATTTTTAACTTTATTTAAATATAAAATTTAATTATTTTTTTATTTTATTTTTTATTTTTTTTTATAAATTTGTTTACTTAAAAACCCATACAGAAAATTTATAAACAAAAATAAAGAAGCATTAAAAGTATTTTCGCAAAAAAAAATCTATGGTAAACAAGTAAGAAAGTCTAAGTTCGGGCGGAGCCGAACATTAAATACCCGGCGCAAGTATTAAATATATGTTTTTTCACCCTTCCGAAACCTTCCGCTAGATGGTAAGCCGAGGTGTATCAATTTTGAGTAAATTAGCGTCCTTCAATTTCGAAATACTGAAGTTGCAAGCATTTCTTAAATTTACCGTTATATGGGAAGTAGGCGTGGTTAAAGTCCGATTTCGCCCATTTTCAATACCAACCTACCTTGGATTAAGGGAAACCTACATACCAAATTTCGTTGAGATATCTCAATTTTTGCTCGAGTTATCGTGTACACGGACAGACGGACAGACGGACGGACAGACAGACATGGCTTAATCGATTTCTTTTTTCATCCTGATCATTTATGTATACATTTGTCTATATCTATCTCGATTCGTTTTGGCTGTTACAAACAGCCGTTATGTGAACAAAATTAATATACCCTTGTGCACAAGTGCGCTCGGGTATAAAAAGACAGAAAAACACAGAAAATTCCGTTTCCACAAATTTCAAACAAAAAATGGAAGCACTTATCTTAGAATCTAAAATACAAAAAGATTTTAAAATTTAATTTTAAAGTAGTAATTAAATTACAACCCTGCAACCTATACTATCAGATTAACCTGAGGAGTAGAGAATTCGAAAAGAATTCGTAAAGAAATCTTTAGTTTCCTTTCCGAATTTTTGCCGAGTTTTCTGAAATGAAGTTTATTGCATACACTTCGATTCTTGCAAGGAGAATGCTTTCAGAATTTTCCTTAAGAAATCGTAAAAGTTTCATACTATTTAATTAATTTTATAAAAAATTATTAATTTGTAAAAAAAAAAATGTTGTAGAATTCGTAAGATATTTCCAAAGATATTACAAATTTCGTTAAGAATTTGGAATCTTTAGTTTGCCGAGAAATTATAAAAACGTCAAAAATATTTGCAATGAAAAGTGGTCTGTTATTTAAAAAAACACGTTCTAACTTTTTTATAATTTTTTTTTAAACAAATGTTATTTATAAAACTCGAACAACTTTGATTAGCTTCACAAAATTGCGTTATCTACTTTCTTGTAATTATCTATGAAAATATAATTAATAATAATATTTCATACAATAATTAATATTTCAAATAATTTTGAGACCTCAAACTAATTATAGCTTTTGGCAAATTCAGTTTTCGTATGAATTTGTTTTTTAGGCAGATTTTTCGTAAAAAGTGCAATTTTTTAATTGGTGTGCTTTCGAGAAAGTGAAGTAAAAACACCGTATATAGAAATAAATATATATCTAAAAGTTCTATATTTTTAATAAAAATTCTACATTTTTAGCTGTGACTGTAACTGTGTATCTAAGCAGTTTCACACTGTTTAAGTTATCACTGAGCTTTTAGGTGTAACAATAATAAACATTTAGAATTCCTAAACAAAAAAGAAACAAAAAATACTAAACAAATAATTAATAGCCGCAGTCATATCAATCCAACCTTTCAGCCAACCAACAATCGATCTGCAGCTAAAGTGAGATCAGTGAGCTTATCAACTGCTTAAAATCATGTCAGGTTTTTTTTCGGTTCTTTTGTAATATCTGCGCCATTTCGAGAGCTAAAAAAAAAATTGTATTTGTTTTGACGCTGTGATCGCTGCACATTCTGCTGACCGCGAAACGTGTTGAGTTGGCACGAATGCTTGGTGCTGCGACGTGTCAGAAACACAAAATGCATATAAATTATAACATAGACCAAAAAATAAGAAAAAATACCATTTAACGGCACATTCTTGGTGCAATTTTACATAGATTTTATTTTTTTGCCTGCTATGGCACCCTCAAACTGCTGCCAGTGGCAACCTTGATCATTGGCCAGCCACAAGATTCGAGCACAAAATACGGGCAAATGTACGTACAATAAAAACTTAATAGCACAATCGATAGATAAAAATAAAATCCATGTGCGGCATTTAAGCCAAAATAAATACCAAACAGGCTAATCTTGAAGAGAATTAGTTTAAAGGCAACATGAAAGAATACAAAAAATAATAGAAAAGGCTTAAGCAATCTGCGCGTCAAGTGCAGAGCACAGCATTTAAAATGTATGGAGCTACAGCTAGTGTCAAATGTTCGTGTACACCTTGTTATAATATAATATTCAAAATTATTTTCATGAACATTTTTTGCTTTCATTAATTAATTATGAAAATATATATAACATAAACCGTATGAATCAAAGAGTCACTTTTTATATAAAGTTCACAAAAATTCCAAAAAATTTCATCAAAATTTAAAACTTTTTATTCAGAATTTCAAGAAATTTTTTGAATATGCAGTTTTGTAGCCCATTGTATTTTAGTAAACCAAAGTGCAAGTTTCAAGTCGCTAAAAATTACCGTTGATTTCTTAAAATTTCTTTGTGGAGGGTGTTGCGCATTTTCTTCCATATAAAAATTGATTTTGATCATGCGGTTAAGAAAACATCAACACCCTCGACAAAAAATTCTAAAAAATCAACGGTAATAAGTAGTTTGAAATTTTGATCATTTATCTTTTTTTTTAATTTTTTTTAACTTTGTATAAAGTGTGAAACTTTGATTAATACTGTTTATGTTATAGAATTAAATATTTTCATAAGTAAATAATGAAAAAATTTTCGATATAAATAATTGTAAATATTATATTAGAACAAGGTGTACGCTAACACTTGACACTGACTATATGTTTGCATGTATGTTTACATTTATACCCGCAGTAGCTGCATTGCATTGTCATTGCTGTTATTCTGTTCTTGTTAGGCTAGCGGTCAACTGGCCAGCCACAGCTCACAGCGCGGTCACTTAGCCATGGTCAAGCGAAAACAAGACAAAAATGAAACAATTTTTTTTCCTACAAGAACTTGCTATCAGTTTGCTTAATATGCGCGATTGTAGGAGCTTTTATTGGTGTTATTGTTGTTCGCGCTGTTGTTTTTGGGGGTTATTGATGTGACGCTTACAATGTTACTGCCACCGTTGCTGCTGTTCTTTGCTCGTTTGAAGTATCAACGTCCAAGTGCAACGCTGAGCGAGCATTAATGGGCTGTTAAGTGGCTTGTTTTTTTGGATTATGAGATTCCTAGGTTGTTTACTAAAGTTTTTTTTGTATAATTTTTTAAATTTTTTGTATATTTTTATATATTTATTTTTTATTTTTGGGTTTTAATTCTTATACACACACGATGAGTGGCAAAACTATAAGTGGCTTACTATTTTCAAACGCAAAAATTAATAAAGTGCATTAAGCGATTTCATACAATTAAAATTTCTGTAGTTTTAAAGATTACAAATTTTAGGGTT